TCCACGCACACATCTACCCCCTCGTTCGTCTTCCTCCTCTTCTTCATCTCCCTTCTCACCACCCCATGAACTGCTTTCTGCGGACACGACCATGGCGTCCGCCACCGAACGGCGAGGTAAGAGCAAAATCAATGTGCTTCTGAGAGTCGAGACGGACGACAAAAGAAGGGACATTGACAATTTGCTTTCCAACACTGTAAAACGTAAAAAAAGCGTCGGTCAGAGGGCAAACCACAATACCATGGATGGGGTTGAATGGAGTAAACTCCAGGATTTTACACATACCGGATGTGGCGCTGCTTGATGAGGACACGAGCGTGATGGATAGACTTTGCCAAACCGAGCTGGTACACCTGGGTCTGAAGACGGCGCTCCAAGAAATCTTCGACCTTGAGAGCCAAGACGTAATCGAGCTTCATGCGGGACTCGTCGAGCACACCAACACGGACAAGACGGCGAATCAAGGCGTTACCCTCGAACAGGCGCTTAGGGTCTTTCTCGTCAAGAGTGAGGAGCTCACTATATACCAGGCAAAACCGTATGAGCAGTGGTTCCTAATGCGATATAATAATCTTTGCTGAAGTGTCTGAGTGAGGTTCTCCATACCGAGCAGCACGTCGAATCTTGGACAAGGTAAGCTGAACACGCCAGACTTCGCGCTTGTTGCGGAGGCCATATTTGCCAATAATTTCCAATTCGGAGTCACTAGCGAGGGAATCATGTTAGGATATCTGACACAACGACATAAGCAGAGACAAGCTACTGCTCAGTGGCCTGAGGATACTAACAGACGTGCCGACTCGTATGCTACACAGAAAGAAAACACAGTAGTCAGCATACTGATATATCTTCAAGGATAGTTAGCCAGCACATACGACGACGAGGGACCTTGTAGGTCTTGGAGTAGGAGCGCCTAAAAACATTTGAACAATTAGAGAATCGCCCATCTTATCCTGCAGGAATTAAGTATCCCAAAACTCACGGAGCCATGATTGACGATACGGCTGCACGATCCGGTTTGTCGAGGTTAGTGGAGAGGGGATTGTCGTTGTCGTTGTCGTTGTCGAGTTGAAAACGAGAGGAACAAAAGAATGGTGCTTGAATATTTGATGCTGAATGGAGCTCGCTTAGACATTGCGTGGGCGATTACTTGTTTTGGTCAGAATTAGGGTTGAACCCGCACACGGTCCGGCTAAGTGAAAAAACCAACCATCGCAGCCCCCAACGACGACAAGCTTCACTTCAGTCGGTCAGTAGGAAGCAATCTCGACATCGACAATCGCCATCGCCATCTGACTACCTCATATCCGTCAAGATGGGTCACTCTCACGGTCTGAGATCTGGCACTCGGGTATGTTGTGTTCTTTTCCATTGCTCCGTTCGCAATCGATGCGTCACTAACATGAGAATTTTATATTTTGTAGTATGCCTTCTCCCGCGACTACAAGAAGCACGGCGTTATCCCTCTTTCCACTTATATGAGAGTTTACCGGTATGGAATGATAGACTCTTGTCGGGTTTAGATTTGAGAGATTTGGATCTGACTCCAGGTATAGGGTTGGTGACATCGTGGATATCAAAGTCAACGGAGCAGTTCAACAGGGGTCAGTACTGATTACGTCCTAAACCTCGAATTGCGGCCGATTGCTGCGTAGTCGATCGCTGTTATGAAGAGGCCCTTTGTCTACTCATAAAACTCTCGGCGCTGATACATTTGGTGATATATCTTATAGTATGCCATCAAGGTCTACCACGGCAAGACCGGTGTTTGTCTACAACGTGACAAAAGTCTCGCGTTTGGCGTCATCATCTACAAGCGCGTCGGAAACAGATATATTGGAGAAGCGCGTCAACGTCCGCCATCGAGCACGTTTCCCACTCCCGATCCAGAGGAGAATTCCTCCGGCGAGTCAAGGAGAACGCTGTCAAAAGACGGAAGGCCCAAGGAGGAGGGTATCCACATCCATCTGAAGAGACAACCAATCGGACCCCGGGAGGCAAGAACAGTAAGCACGGAGGGAAATATGCCAGAGACAATTACACCCATTGCATACGAAACGACTATCTAAAAAAAACAAAAATCAATTATCCGTGTTGTATGGGTTTGGGATCCTGTTTTTTGCCCTTTTATGACTACTTTTCCTACTACATGTCACAGTGAAATAGCGCATTGCACTGGGCGGCGTGGAGGAGCGCGGGCTCTACATACGATATACGACGATATCAATCAGCGCAACAATAGATGCCGGGCATATTAGGAAATTAATTTTCTTTTTTTTTTTTTTTTTGTCAGTCAATGGAGCGATTCGTACTTCCTCAGATTTCACTTCTTCGGCAGGGAGGGGCATTTCGCTATCTTACCATGATGTGTCGTGGCCAACTTCGGTATCTGGATTTTGCGATTCCGTTCATTCGCAACTGATACTAGTAGCATTCAGGGGTGACTTCACTCACGTTCATCCAACCCACAAACAAGTAAAGTGGATCTCCTATAGCCTCGAGTCATGAAACCCTATAGGCCAACATGTTTAGATGATAATTCCACAAGATACGCTGTATAGCAACCGGGTTTTTCCACACCCACCCCCCCCCGGCTGTCCCCCATCGAAAGGCCGACACCATTCAATGGGTGAGGCTTATTTCTCATTTGAGCTTCTGGGAAAAATGAAATTCTGATATAAATTGCAACATACTGATGTGTGCGAAACACTCATCTGTGATAAGAAATTTACAACATGACTGGAATGGGCACGTGACAGGAACATGATCGGGGCGGCGTAACCAATAGAGCGGGCCAATAGAGAACGAGTGCTATAAAAAAACTCAGGTCGATAGTTAACGATGATCAATGGAAGCATTTCCCTGATATTGAGAGAACATTCTCCCTACCATGATAACGAAGGAGTTTATGTATTTCTAATTTCTTTTTTATTTCTTGTGTCCTTTTCTGTTTTCTCCACGGTGTCCTCGATGCAAATCATTTGATTTGTGAGCGATAATTCCGAACCTCCCCTCACCATGTACTCCTCACATTCCCAGGATCCTACGAGGCGCGCTCGCATTGAAAATGAGAAGCAAGGTTCGCGACAGTCTATAATGATACAGCAGGGGGAAACTGACGATGTGGGAGTTTCTCCTCGACCAACGGAGAAGCCGGATGCGAGATCTTGGGCTCACTTCGTGGCCGGAGGGTATGTGAATATCAGACTCCGTTTTAGTAAATACTCAGATTGTTTTAATGTCAATATCGAAAATGGAAGTTGTTAATCCAACCCTAAATAGGATCGGCGGGATGACTGCGGCTACTGTTACCAGTCCCCTCGATGTCCTAAGAACGCGTCTTCAATCAGACTTCTACCAAGCCCAACTCCGTGCGCTGCGCCACGCACACCCCTTGCCTCAATCAACATCCATCCTGACCCTCCCCCGAAGCGCTCTACTACATTTCACGGAAACTCTTCAAATGCTTAGGTCGATTCATGTCCATGAGGGATGGCGAGGCTTGTTCAAAGGCCTAGGACCCAACTTAGTAGGCGTAGTCCCAGCGAGGGCAATCAGTTTCTATGCCTACGGAAATGGCAAACGTCTATTAAACGAGTATTTCGAGTATGACCCAGCCACTTCGCCGGTGGGTATTCACTTGACAGCCGCGGCGATGGCTGGTATTGCGACAGGAACAGCCACAAATCCAATCTGGCTAGTTAAGACGCGGCTGCAACTCGACAAGGCCAATGCTTCCAACGTACCCGGCAGAGGGCGCCAGTACAAAAACAGCTGGGACTGCATCAAACAGACTGTGCGCCACGAAGGAATTCGAGGGCTCTATCGTGGACTTTCCGCATCGTATCTCGGAGTCACGGAGAGCACGGTCCAGTGGGTGATGTATGAGCAAATGAAAAGGATACTCGCTGCAAGAGAGGCGCGCTTGCTTGCTGATCCGACGCATGTACCGAGTTTGGCCGATGATGTTGAGGTCTGGGTAGGGAAACTGTTTGCCGCGGGTTTCGCTAAATTCTTCGCTGCTGCTGCCACGTATCCTCACGAAGTTGTACGCACCAGGCTGCGGTTGGCTCCCACGGTATCAATTTCGGGGGGCAAGGCGCAGATGAAGTATACCGGGTTGGTCCAGTGCTTCCGGCTGATCTTCAAAGAGGAGGGCATTGCAGGCCTGTATGGGGGTTTAACGCCTCACCTACTACGAGTTGTACCGAGCGCTGCTATCATGTTTGGAATGTGAGTTTTGGGCAACCACCCACTTTCGCTGCATTGCAGTTTCTCTTTTTGTTCTGCCAAGTCCCAAGCCCATTTGTTTCATTTTCTGCTAACATTCTCACCCAAACCCTAGGTATGAAGTGCTCCTGCGGCTCTTTGGTGCCACAGCATGAATACTCTCCAATTCAATATGCACCCACTCATCGCCAGATCTGCAGTCTTTCTCTCGCAAAACTGCTTCGATAATACCTCATCCAAACGGGCGGCATGTCAATACCTCCTCTTTAATCATTTTTCACCGCCATCTAACTCCCCACTTAGTGTGTTTGCATTTCTCCAAGGCACTTAGGGTTTATAATAGACATATAAAGAATCCTCCAGTAAGTAATGGTTCATTGTGCTGAGAGGCTAGATTTTCAAGGGAACCATAGCCCGTGGATCCTGATCCTTTATGTTTTTTTTTTTACCTTTGGGGAATCTTCCCTTTTTTTTCG